CTGGGCCACATTTCCTGCTTCCTGTTCTCTGGCTTGTCAGCATCTGGCCTTTCTTAGTTCCCAAGGCAGTTTCTCACCCCGGGGCTGTGGCAGGTTCAATTCAGGCTCTCTCATTACAGTGTTCCTGGTTTTCAGGCCCCTGGGGTAGCTCAGTGTAAAACAACAGGCTCTCTCTCGAGATGGTGCCTGGCAGGTACCCTCTGGGCTGAGGGCACAGCTCCCTACTGCTGGTGACTGCTGGATAGAGCAGTCCATGCCCAGTGAATCTGAAGCCAGTTCTGATACATACAAGGCTGTGGGCTTGTCCTGTGGGTGGTGACACCAAATTCTGTTCTCCAGGGCTTCCTTTCCAGTGAGGCTTTTGCCTCCAGGCCCCCTGGTGGAGTGTTGCTGGCTATGCATTTGCTCCTTTTGGTGCTTTGGACTTCTGCTTGTTTGCAATTTTCAACTGTCTCACTATCTGTTTCCTGGGCCCTGGAATCTCTTTCTCCGCCTTGTTGCTTTGTAATGGAGTCCTTTTTCTTTTTTTTTTTCTTGTTATGACATTCCACTTTGTCACACAGAGGCAGCATCCAGTCCCCCATCTTACCAGGAAGTCTACCTTTACCCTGGATTCATAGTTTGGCTGGACATAGAATTACAAATTGGGCCTAATTTCCTTAGAGAGATTGTAGTCTTCTGCCTACCCTGTAGTGATCAGGGTTGCTGTTGAAAAGTTTCTTACTGTGGTTTCCAATTCTTTGATAGCTGCCTTTGTAAAGAATCTTGTCTTTATTTTCAGGATGGTTAAGACTCAAAGGCATGTCATGATGTGAATGAAGTTTTTTTTTTGTCATTAAATTGGAACTTTGAATTTTTAAATTTGGAAGCTTATTTCCTCCACTGTTCTGACTTTTTTCCCCTTTAGAGTTTCTTCTTTTCTGTATATTTCCTTCCTTCCTTCCTTCCTTCCTTCCTTCTTTCCTTTATCTTTCCTTCAGAGGCCCTGGTTTTGGATTTGGGGCATCCTAGACTATGCAGTAGTCCATAATGTGCCTTCTTGATTTCCTTTTTATGAGAAAGCACATCTTCATCTTCTAGTTATTTTCCTGATTTGAACTGTGGACCCACACACCCAGCTGCCATCCTGACCTCTCTATGTAATTGTTCTTCATGCTCTTCAAATTCTTGTTTAGGACCAAATTCAGCTTTAACAGAAACGTGTTTTCTCTGAATGAATAGATCTACCATCAGTCAAGGAAATCCAACTATCACCAAGATCATTCTTGGTTATTCATCACCCTAAGTCTTATTTATTCCAACTTCTTAATGATGGTTAAATCCATCCAGTATTATTATTATTACTTTTTATCTGCCTTAGGTCACTGAAGTATCCTCCCTGCATATGTCAATGTTTTCACTACTTATATTTCTGATTCTAGGTGAATCTCGTTGTTTCTTCTGCAGGCAACACTCTCTCTATACCACCTCCTCTCTATACTCTGAGTTTAAACTTTGGTTAAACATTTTCCCTCTAGCTTTGGCTGTCATGCTGCTGTCTTGCTTGTCTTCTACTTCATGCTCTGAGTGACTTGATGGTGGAAAAGTGGTTATTATACATCAGACTCACAATAAATATTGCAAAAGTGTCCATTTAATATGGATAGGTAGAGCATGGACAGCCGGCATTTGTCCTACGACTAACTCTTTCTTTTGAAATATTTTTTCTTATATTGAGCGGGCATCTATCCCCAATTGCCTTTCATTTGTTATGATTACATTCTGTTACTACAGGATTTCCCAGTGCACATTGGATTTCAAACATTGTCTTACAAGCTGCACAGAGTTCTGAAACTTCCTGGCTCTCAGTATTCAAACCACATCCATGGGTTGCCTCTTGTTCTTGAAAATGACACGAAGGTTCTTTGTCACATCCCATGTCCTGGGATTTGGAAAGTTTGGGAGTTACAAAGTACAAAATCAATCTAATCCCTCTGCTTGGTGAGACTTTCAGATGCTGAAGTCTGCCATTGTGTCCCTAGGCAAATGTTTTTCAGGCTAAGCCCTATATTGTCCTTGTACCCACCCTTGGATCTCCACACCCTTACCTAGAGTGTGTAGTCACACCACATGATTCTGTGTGGGCACAATAGACCAGACTGTCCCTGCCCTGCCTGCGGACATGTATGTCTTTAAACACAGACCAAATTTAGTCCTGTCCTATGTGGAGGAAGCACATTACATTTGTGATTTCTGGTTCTTTGTATTACGTTATCAATGTACGTGTTGTGTTCTACACCTTGCCCTGAAGCACGGGGTTTATTTCTGTTTTAGTGCATCTGGTTAGCTTGTAACCATCATGTCATCTTATATTTCAGATTGTTCTGTCCTCTCAGATTTGTGACATTAAAATAATGTTAGTTTGAGTCATCAGCCTGTACCCGATGTGACTGGAATTTGGAGGACATTTGTTAGAGCTGAATTCTCTCCTCAGGCTGGTTTTCCTCTCATGTTGTTTCCCTGCTTATGAGTTGAATTTCACCCGGTGTTATGGATCACAGAAAAAAAACACAGGGTAAGAAAACCACCTTCTGAGCCATCATATAATTGAGTAATATCATTTCTCTAAGAAATAATATTTTTTCATCCTAGGATAGAGGCCACAATTCCATTCAGATACCTACTCCAATATTTGTTCTATGTTTCTCTATCATGTAAATGTTTGCAGTTTACATTAGAAACCAGACAACTAGTAACAGATTCTCTTTGTCTATCCAAACACTTTGAAAAGCTGTGGACGTCTTTGTAGGATCACAAAAAGGTCTTCACCTCCCACAAGCAGTTCTGAATGCTTGGGTTACAGGTATGTACTACTAAGCCTGGCTTGTGACCCCATTTTTAAAATTTTCCTGGAGTGGGCGACACAAACCACCTTCCTCTTAGTTTAATTTTTAGCTTTTTTCTGGTCATTTGTCACAGGGCATCTACTCCCAATTCCCATAATTTACTAGTGTCCATCATTTTAATGGGATCTGAGGAGAAGTTATTAGATGTGAATGCACTTGCTTAGTCTGTCATGTTTAAGCAGATGTCTCACCAGTTGTATTTTAATCGAAATAATCCTATCAGTTTCTGCTACTCATGTGAGTCTCTTGAACTGCCAAAGGGTTAGGGAACCCAGGGGTGATCAGAAGTAAAGGATGGATGTACTTCTGTTTCTCTACCTCTTGTATTTTGTGTGTGTGTGTGTGTGTGTGTGTGTGTGTGTGTGTGTGTGTGTGTGTGTGTGAGAGAGAGAGAGAGAGAGAGAGAGAGAGAGAGAGAGAGAGAGAGAGAGAGAGAGAGAGAGAGGCAGGATCTTACACTGTAGGCCAAGTTGATCTAGAACTCCCTATGTATTCATGTGTCAGCCAAAATGGCAGCAGCATGTTTGATGAAGAGCTGTAATTACATGTAAATGTTAGGTTTGAGGATTTGGAAGGGAAGACGGACGGGTAAGGAAGAGGGAGAAAGCCAAGTTCCAAGCATTAGGGTGATGGTACTCAGGACGGAGTAAGGGCCAAGTATGGCCCATCTGCACTTGAGGAAACCAGTGAGGCGGGAAGGCGTCTTTGACCTTCTCCAACCATCTTCTGAGGTAGGCCAAGGAGTTTTCAGACCTTCTTCCGCACCTCAGAACGGGAGAGGCATCTGCTCCGCACTAAAGGGATCCTTATTTCTGAAGACTCTGAACAAGCACGCCTTGCTAAGGTCTCTCTGTGTGCAACTGTTGTATCATGGCCCCCCTTGTCCAGGCATGACTCTCCACCACCGCCACCCCAGATGGTACAGAAACCGCAGGCTCCTTCTGTTGCAGTGGGTTTCCCATTCCGAATCTTGCACACCGTGTGCAACATATTTTACACGCACCAGTGTGCTTTTAAAAGCATTTATCTTTGGTTCAAAGGCCCAGCCACAGACACTGAAATGGATGGGGGTAATGTTCCCCCTTGGTGGAGACTTCCTGTTCTCAAGCTGAGCCCTTAGCTTATCTACTCAACAGAAACGTGGGGGAACAAATGTGGAAAGGTGGGAGACTCAATTTTGTCTTCCTCTACAGTGCTTTTTAAACACTATTTGTGACTGCCAAGGTCCACTGTGTCCTTACCCTTTCCACACAACACAGTGATATCTGTTGCTGTCTATTCCTTGCATGGATCCTGAAAACACAGACTGCCTTCTGTTTACAGCAAGTCAGTATATCACTTCTCTACTGCCTTCTAATGGAGGTTTGGGATTTTCCCTGTAAAGAAGAGGGTACCGCATTCCTATTATAACCAACACTGTGTTATCATGTACACCTAGAAAGTAATGTAATTATTATTGATCATCTTAAATGTAAGGGAAATGATGAGCAGTGACACTTAGAAGCTTGATGAAGGTCACATGATCAGAATCCAGTCTTTTAAATGTCATTCAGGTTTTCCCATCTCATTGATTTTTTTTTTCTGTCAGTACTGTACATTTTTCAAGTATGTCACAGCACCTTGTAAAGTAGGTAAGGTAAGTTATATAATTTCCATTTCACATATGTGGTAACTGATATGAAGAGTGTGGTGGTTTGAATAAGAGCAGCTGCCATGGCCCTGTTGGTGGAACTGTTTGGAAAGGATGGATGAGGAGGTGTGGCCTTATTGGAAGAGGCATGTCACATGAGGTTTCAAAAGACTCATGAAATACCGAGTCTCTCCCTCTCTCTGGGTGTTGCTTGCAAGTCAAGATGTGACCTCTCAGCGGTTGCTTCTCTTTGCCATCATAGACTCTAACCCCTGAAGGCTGTAACCCAGTTATGTGCTCTCTTTTATAAGTTGCCTTGGCCATGGTGCTTTATGACCAGCAATTAAAAAAAGTCAACTAAGACAAAGAGCTAATTCCAAAGATTCCACCATGAAGTTTTTTTTTTAAAGATAGCCATGAATGTCTGCTTCAGCATCTTGGCGGTTTTGTTCTATCAGAGAAAGAAAGAACGTCTCAACATAGAAAGAGAGAAAAAAAACATTTATTGAGGTTCTGCTGTATGTCAGACAGCCAGGCAGAATTCCAGGACATCATGTGATCTTCTCTATCCTCTCATCCCGAGTGTAGTGCTGAGAGGTTGTTGATTTATATTTCCATTGTACCTGAATCTCTGAGAAGCCATAGGACCTGTGTATTGTCACATAGATAAGCAGGTTATCAATAAACCTATCTGTGATGCCTATTTTTTTTTTTTTTTTGGTTTTACGAGATAGGGTTTCTCTGTATTGTTTTGGAGACTGTCGGTCCAGCCTGGCCTCGAACTCACAGAGATCCGCCTGCCTCTGCCTCCCGAGTGCTGGGATTAAAGGCATGCACCACCACTGCCTGGCCCGTGATGCCTAGTTTTAATTATTACCTTGACACAATGTAGAGTCACCTGTGAACAGAATCTCAGTGAGGGGCTGTCTAGATCAGGTTGGCCTGTGGTCATGTCTGCAGGGGATTGTCTCGATTGCTAACTGATGTGGGGAAATCCAGTCTACTACAGGCAACAGCACTCCCTAGACAGAGGTCCCTGGATGTGTGAGTATGGACACGGGACTGAGCTCGAACAGCATGTGTGGATTTCCCCTTTCCGATTTTGGCCGTGGGTACGTTGTGATCATGTGTTTTAAGTCCCTGCCACCTTGTTTTCCTGACAACGATGGGCTGTAACCTGAAAGTGTAAGCCAAGCCAACCCTGTCTCCTTACATTGCTGTGTGTCAGGGTATTGTATCACAGCAACAGAAATGAGCTAGAACAGGGTCCACCTCATGTAATGCATGACACATTTGATGTTCAGCTCCAAGAGTGGATTGTTTTAGATCTCACAGGAACGTGTGTGGAGGACATTTCCCTCAGTGCCTGTACCTTATCAGCAGCTTCTAAGAACTGAAACCAGAGATAAGTTTCTCAGCAGCCACTTCAAGGAGTCTTCTCATTACAGAGCATGGCTATGTGTTCCCCTCCTGTTCTGGGGGAAGGATGAATTGTATGTTTGAGGAAATGGTTCTTTTGTGCCTACTTAACTAAAGGATTTTCTTTTTTTCCCTCTTCCCTCCAAGTCTGTAGACAGTCTCTTTAATTGTTCTGCTTGTCTCCTTGGCATTAAAACAGTTGTGCCGTGAAAGTTACAAATGAAAAAAAAAAACAAAAAACTTCCTCCTTCTGCTAAAATCTCTACTTCAGAGTTAATATTCTGTTGGTCTGGATTTACTCAAAAGTACCATAAATAAAAGATTTAAATAGAAAATACATTTGGTATGGAAATCCAGTAGTTAAGAGGCTCACAAAACTTGCCAGATGTTTGTGAGAAAAACTAGCAGTTCAGGTGGGTAAGTATTTATTGCCTTCTAGAGGGCAATATGAGTTACTTGGGAGCCATGAAAAATAAATAATAAATGAAACTCTGTTGAGTCTGTGTTGGGGAAAGAAATTATAGGGGCGCTGAATTCATAGTCGGGACAAGAAGCAGAAACAAAAGCCTCCACTAAACAAAAAGAGGTTTCATCACGCTACTCTCCTGCCTTAACTTATCTTCTTCTAAGTGTAATCACACACACAAACATAGATGTATATAAACTTACTTATGATGGTAACCCCACCCTGCAAATATAATGATATATGTATATATCTGTACATATGTATGCATACACACACATGTACATGCCTGTGACGGCAATCCCCCACTCCATCCTGCAAAGGAGTCCACCTGAGGAGTTTCATTGCTGGATCTGAATTTAGAGTATATGACTTGCAGGACTGTTCCTGGAAACACAGATCAGCTGTTATCACAGGCGATATGAAGGAGCACAGCACACGGCCTTCCCACGACAGAACCTCTGATACACAAGCAGGAGTTTCTTCCATCTACTTCTGTCTCCACAAAACCCTCCAAACACATCCTCAGCTTCCCGTATTAGAGACCTCCTCCAAGTGGACTCATTGCCTTGTTTCTTTTCTTATTTATTTAATTAATTTATGACAAGGTCTTGCCACATACCTGAGTGGGGCTTCGAACTTCTGGAGTGCCGGGGCCGTGGACATGCACCATCACATACCAGGTCCATTTTTCTCCTTCTGCTAAAAGAACTAAACCCAAAGCAAACAACCATATAACTGCATAGTCGAAGTTTTCTTTCCAATGGGAGGTGACTCTGAATTTGCCTAAAAATGCTTTTTTCCCCTTTCTTTCCTTCAGAACACAGCGGGCACACTTTCAGACGAGACATCCACAGATGCCCTGCCTTTGAACTGGGGCCACAGTGAAAAGGAAAAGACTATGTCACCATCACCTGCGTTAGAGATGATCAGGCTGTCCGAGTGGGAGATGAGGAGCAAGCCCAGCTGATGTTCATGTCTGCGGTGGGGGTGGGGTGGAGGTGGTGTTGGGCAGCTGTTGTTGGCTGGGTGGTAGAGAGAAGATGTGATTCACAGAACCTTGAATGAACAGAAGGAAGTCCAGGTAACAGGAATGAGGTAAGTTGGCTCTGAGATCAGCTGTCCCTAGTTAGGGAGTAGATCCTGCCTAGCAGAGAACAGCATTGAATAAGTCTTCCAGGCTGAACACTGGTTGAATTATGAGATGGTAAGTCAGACAGTCATCTATCTAAATCTATTAGTCTTTGGGAGAAACTGGAACAAACTCTTTCCCTCCTTCCCTCCCTCCCTCCCTACCTCTCTCCCTCCCTCCTTCCCTCCCTCCCTCCCTCCCTCTCTCCCTTCCTCTCTTTCTCTCTCTAGGATCTTACTATATAGCTCTGGCTGTCCTGGAACTCACTATGTAGACCAGGCTGGCTTCAAACTAGCAGATCCACCTGCCTCTCGTCTAACAAGCGCTGGTATTAAAGACATGTGCCTCTTAGCCCAGCCGAGGACCAAGCTTCCAAGCCCCCACACTCATTCCTCCCTACTCCTAAGTCATCCCACCCTTTGTTAATCACTCCTGTTTGCCAGCTCCTTTCCCGCCATGCCCTGTGTGCGGCAGGGTCAGGGTCACACTTTCTCTGGGAAGTACCCACATATCAGTGGAAAGAGCACCTTTCAGAGTTACAGTGAATCTGTGTATCCATAAAGAGGAACGTGAGGCGTCCTTAGACCTCGGCATCAAACCTAGATAGCTGGGTCAGCATATCCTTGGCGCTGATTTCCTGTTTGCAGAATCTTAGACTGTATTTCAAAATGATGTAAAGAGCGTTCTAGCGACGTAACAGGAATGCTTAGTTATCTCTTTATTGGGGAGTAAATTAGATGGTTATAAAGTTAAATAAAACCCAGAAAGTTCTGAGTGCCTTTCCTTAAAATCTTTTGTCAAAACAAACAGCCTTGAAGTGAACATAAAAACGTAAATGGCGTTGGCTCTAATGAAGCAACCTCGGGACCTAATGAAGCTGAAGTGCTGTGAGCGCTGGGCAAGCCAGGCTGTCTTTTATCTATGTGGAATGTACATGTCCTTGCTTGACTCCTTATCACATTGTGGTAACGTCATTTAGAGAGCGATTGCTGATAACAAACAAAAATGATACAGCTTCCAGCTAGCTAACAGCTCCAAGTAGCTCAAGAAGCTAGATGGGTTAAGTCATCTAGGCTAGAAGATGCTGAGCAGGGAGAGCAAGACTGGAGACATCTTTGGTACTCTTCTTGGGCACAGCAAATGCTGGAGTATGGTGACAAAAAGGCTCTCCAGGCTTCCCCATTTCTACAAATGAGTCTTCATTCTGCCAGTCAGGAAGACTAGGGGCTCTCAGTTATTCTTGGTTCTTTCTTCCCCCAAGTATCCCAAATTACTCAACATTTAAAGTTATTTCGTTTAGCTGTTTTCCTTAAAGAACCTCCTGAATCCTGTTACATTTATTCCCTGGCTACAGCCACCGGCTCAGCTCCTTTTCTTGGTCTCATCCCTGAATGTCGGTTCTTTATGACCCCAGGCTCACTAATCTTTATCTCTAGCACAGAGTAGGTCTGCTTAACCATCTAAAGCCCCAGGTAGTGTCATTCCCTTGAACAGAGCCCACAGGATAACCCTGACTGTTCTGTCTTTCTCTTGTCCCCTTCTGTCTTCCCATTTCAATCTTTTGACATTACTTACGTGGATATGAGCCCACTACTTCTATTCAAACATGCTTTGTTCATTTCGCCAACATTTTCTTCAGAGAACACCGACCTTCAGCCAAGAATTGTTGCTTAAGGTCAAGCTCCAAATCCTTACATCTCCCTTCCCTAAACCAGTTTGTCTTCTCCTGAAAACTCTACTACACTTCCTCTGCCCCACAGACCGCTGTTGTTCATTTCACTTGGCACTTACCGAAGGCCAGTGCTTACTGTTTGCTTTCTGTGCATGTCCTGTATTCTTCCAAGTAACTAACCTCTCCTTGAAGGCCAGGGCTGCTCCTTACCTCTAGGGGGTTGCCTATAACTTAGTGTACGATGGTTCAGTTTAGTTGAAGGATAGCATCTGGCCTTGCAGGAATCCAGTGAATGTTTCTTTCTTCATTCACTCTAGAGCCCAGAGAACCCAGGACGAACAGCACAGAATCTTGACAAAAATATGAAGACTGTGGGCATGCCCACTTTCCTCTATCTCTTTCCAAGTCTCCTAACATTTTGTAGGTTGCCATTCCTGTCCCTGAATCTGTACTTAGGAGAAACTACAGTTTGTTTGACTTCTGATGAAAATGGTAACACCTCTATTCTTTCTTTGGGATTATCTGTAATTAATTCTTGCTTCTAAGTATAATAAGAAAGACCAAGTTTTCTAGTAAAAATCACCAAGGTACATGATAATATGCAATGGTGGCTCATTCTTAAGTTCACATTGTGCAGCTTAACAGCTGTGCCACCCTTGGCACTCTCAACGCAGTTAAGTACAGACACATGCAGAGTCACACAGGCAGACACAGACATTACACACACACACACACACACACAGAGAGAGAGAGAGAGACAGACAAATTTGCACCCAGACACACACAAAAACATATACACAGACACACACACACAAACACACATAGACACATTTACACACATACATACCCAGACACACACAAAGACATATACATATACACAGAAACACACACACACTCACACACACACACACACACTTGGAACTGGTTTCTGCATAATGGATCTGCAGTCTTAATATTAGTTAAAGAAACCTGATTTCCTTAAGTTCTCCGAATCTCCTAAGCCACAAAGACTCTTCTATATTCCCGTCGTGTTCTCTGGTGGAGAAGGAATATAAGGAGGAATGATAAGGGGTTAAGTACCTTTGTGAGCAATGCATGGTGGGTTCAAGATTAAGAGGTCAAATAGAAGTAACAGCTGCAAGACAATGCTTGAGCTATGAAGTCTACCATCAGAAGCAAAGGCTTTCCATACATTACAGGCAGCCAGCAGTGCTCCCCAAGCTAATCTGGGTGACAGAGCCCCTGGACAAACTTACATGGGATTTATGGAGAACCATCAAATGGTGATGTATTTCACCCCAGCCGGCAAACAAGGAGCAATGTTGCCAGAGGAAACCATGCTCATGTTATATGTGTGCAGTAAAGTCTTACTATCAAAACCACACGCACCATATACAAAATGATACAAGACGCATCAGTGGGAAGGAAGGGAAGACTTCTCCAGCCCGCTGTAGCCCTCTCCCAACACTGGCCCCAAGCAGAAGGGTTAAATGTAAAGTCAATGCCATGGCCAACTTGGGAGAATAAATGGTTCCTTCACAGTTTTTGAACTACCTCAGAAACCTTCTAGCTCTGATTCTACTATGAAAAAATGAAAACTAAGAAACTAAAGTATATATCACTATAGATTCTGATACTTTATTTTAAAAGAGAAAACTTTATTTGCATGTGTATATGATGTGCTTTCATATATGTTCACAAGCCTATAGACACACATGGGTGTATGTTATGGGATATTTTGTTTGTGTTCTTACAAATGAAGTTTGCCTGGTGACCAGAGGGCAGAGCTAGCCACTAGTTAACCATAGAAGTAGGGTGGTGGTGGCTCACACCTTTAATGCCAGCACTCCGGAGGTGGAGACAGGAATTGGTAAGATGGGGTGGAGGCAAGGATCCTGGCCCTTTTGGTTGAAGGATCCGGAGAGGTAAGAAGTCATTGGTGGCTGCTCCTCTGTTTCTTTGGTCTTTCTGGTTCTTAACCTTATATCTGACTCCAGATTTTTATTGTTAAGATTAATTAGATTAATGCTTCATGTATAGATGCCTGTAGAAGCCAAGGGGTGATGTTTGGTGCCTTCTTTGATTGCTTTCAACCTTAAATATTGAGGCAAGTTCTGTCACTTGAGCTTGCTGATTTGCTCTTCTCACTAGTTGGCTTGCTCTGGGGATCCCCTGTGTCCACCTCTCGTGAACCAGGGTTACAGGTGGGCCGCCATGCCTGTCTTGTATTTACCCGGATGCTGGAGATCCAAAAGCTGGTCCTCATATTTGCTTGACCCAGTGAACCACCTCCAAGCTCCCTGATGCCTAGATTTTGATTCTTATTTCACAGTTGGGTCAGGCCATTCTCAACGTCACCTTTATGCACTCCCGGTTTCAAGTGTTCCTCCCACTACTGCATTAGAATCTGGCACAGGGGACCCTGTTGTGAAGCTTCTGGTGACCAAATAAGTTCCCTTTGTTTGCTTGGCCTGATCACCAAGCAGCCTGTAGAAGCTAGAATACGAAAGCAATACTGGATGTGGGTAAAGAATCCTTCAAGCATGCCCACTGTATACAACTCAGTGTAACCACCAAATATTCAGCTATAGAGGCAAGCGTGAGGGATTTGGGCCTTGTGACACAAGGTGACAAGGTCATGTGGGAGAAATACCTAGGTTACCAACAACCCTTCAAATGGGTTACACCAATGTGGTCCTTTTGTTTTGACAATGGTTTCATGCAAGTAACTCCTGGCCATTACTGAGGACAGCCAACCATTGCTGTGAAGTTTCTGAGTATCTCCAAGCAGCTTGCATTTGTGTAGTCATTAAGAGTCATCATAAAAATTATTACAATAAAAAACCTAATAGATTTCTAGGATGTTCTCCTCTACTTCAGTTACCATTTAAGTTCAGAAAGTATATTTCTGTTGCTTGCAACCAAGATAAGCTTGCTCTAAGTGCCTGCTGGTATTTGGAAAGTTCAGGTTTAAGCAACTGATTAATGAGTGTTCTAAGAAAATGAAAAGGGAGCTGGGGAGATGGTTCAGTCAGAAGAGTGTCTGCTGAACAAGCTTGAGGACCCAAGTTCAAATCCCCAGAGCCTCTATAAAAAGCCAGGCGCAGTGCCATGTCTATGCAGTCCCAGTGCTGGAGAGCAGGCAGATGAGTTCCCAGAGCTCACTGGCTGCAGGTTCAGTTTCTGTGAGAGACTCAAACGATAAAGATGCAGGGTGATTGAAGAGATGCACAATGTCGGCTTCAGGTTTCTACCTGCACCCACATGTATATGTACATACACTCAAATCACCACACACACACACACACACACACACACACACACACACACACACACACACACACTCACACACACTGTGGTGGTTTGAAAGAAAATGGCCCCCACCAGGAGTGGCACTGTTAGGAGGTGTGGTCTTTTGGAGTAGGTGTGGTCCTGTG